TTTTATGTTACTCAACCTTCCTATCCATGAGTATGGTTTGTTATTCCATTTGTTTGTGTCCTCTCTGATTTCCTTGACCAGTGGTTTGCAGTTTTCCTTGAAGAGATCCCTAACTTTCCTTGTTAGCTGTATTCCTAGGTATTTTATTCTCTTTGTAGCAATTGTGAACAGGAGCTCATTCATAATTTACTTTCCTGCATGTCTGTTGTTGTTATACAGGAATGCTTGTGATTTGGGATATTGTATCCTGAGACTTTGCTGAAGTTGGTTATTAGCTTAAGACGCTTTTGGGCTGAGGTGATGGGGTTTTCTAGATATAGGTTTATATCATCTACAAACAAAGATAATTTGATTTTCTATCTTCCTATTTTAATACCTTTTATTTCTTTAACTTGCCTGATTGCTCTGGCCAGAAATTTCAATGCTACATTGAATATGAGTGGTAAAAGAGAACACCCTTTTCTTGTGCCTGTTTTCAAGAGTAAAGCTTCCAGCTTTTACCCATTCAGTATGATATTGGCTGTGGGTTTGTTATATATTATTCTTATTATTTTGAGGTATGTTACTAATAATACCATACCTAGTTTATTGACAGTCTTTAACATGAAGGGATGTTGAATTTTATTGAAGGTCTTTTCCACATCTGTTGAGATAATCATGTGGGTTTTTTTGTCTTTAGCTTTGTTTATATGATGAATTAAATTTATTGGTTTGCATATGTTGAACCACCCTTGCATTTCAGGGATGAAGCCAACTTTATCATGGTGAATAAGCTTTTTGAAGTGCTGCTGGATTTTGTTTGCCAGTATTTTATTGAGAGTATTTGCATTGATATTCATCAGAGATATTGGCCTAAAATTTTATATTTTTGTTGAATCTCTGCCAACTTTTGGTATCAGGATGATGCTGGCCTCATAAAATTAGTTAGGGAGAAGTCCCTCCTTTAAATTGTTGGGAATAGTTTCAGTAGAAATGATACCAGCTCCTCTTTGTACCGCTGGTAGAATTCAGCTGTAAATTCTTCTGATCCTGGGCTTTTTTTGGTTGGTAGGCTATTTATCACTGCCTTAATTTCAGAACCTGTTATTGGTCTACCTAGGGATTCCATTTCCTCCTTGTTCAGTCTTGGGAGGGTGTATGCATCCAGGAATTTACCCATTTTTTTCTAGATTTTCTAGTTTATGTGCATAGAGGTGTTTATAGGATTATCTGATGGTTGTTTGTATTTCTGTGGAGTGAGTGGTGATACCCTCTTGTTATTTCTGATTGTGTCTATTTGATTCTTCTCTCTTTTCTTCTTTATTAGCCTACCTAGTGGTCTGTTTTATTATTTTTTTGAAAAACCATCTCCTGGATTTACTGATTTTGTGAAGGGATTTTTGTGTCTCTATCCTTTTCTGTTCCACTCTGATCTTGGTTATTTCTGGTCTTCTACTAGCTTTGGGGTTTATTTGTTTTTGGTTTTCTACTTCTTTAAGTTGTGATGATAGGTTGCTGACTTGACATCTTTCTAGCTTTTTGATGTGAGCATTTAGTGTTATAAATTTCTCTCTCAACACTGCATTAATTGCATCCCAGAGATTTTGGTATGGTGTCACTTTGTTCTCTTTAGTTTCAAATAAGTTCTTGATTTCTGCATTAATTTTATTATTTACCCAGGAATCATTCAGAATCATGTTGTTTGATTTCCATGTAGTTGTGTGGTTTGGAGTGTGTTTCTTAATCTTGAGCTCTAATTTGATGTGCTGTGACTCACAGAACTGTTTGTTATTATTTCAGTTCTTTTGTATTTGCTGAGGAGTGTTTTACTTCCAATTATGTGATTAATTTTACAATAAGTACCATATGGTGATGAGAGTGATGAATATTCAGTTGTGTGGGGATGAAGATTTCTGTAGATAACTATCAGGTCCACTTGAGACAGAGCTTAGTTCCGGAGCTTAATACCTTTGTTAATTTTCTGTCTTGATGGTCTGTCTAATGCTGTCAGTGAGGTGGTAAATTCTCCCACTATTATCATGTAGCAGTCTAAGTCTCTGTAAGTCCCTAAGAACTTGCTTTATGAATCTGGGTGCTCCTGTATTGAGTGCAAATATATTTAGAATAATTAGCTCTTCTTGGTGAATTGAAACTTTTACCATTATTTAATGCCCTTCTTTGTCTTTTATGATCTTTGTGGGCTTAAAGTCTGTTTTGCCAGAACTAGGATTGCAACTTCTGTTCTTTTTCTGTTTTCCATTTACTTGGTAAATTATCCTCCATCCCTTCAATTTGAGCCTATGTTTGTCTTTTCATGTGAGATGTGTCTCTTGAAGATAGCCCACCAATAGGGCTTGATTCTACCTCGAGCTTGCCATTCTGTGTCTTTTAATTGGGGCATTTAGCTCATTTACATTTAAGGTTAATGTTGTTATTATAAATTTGATCCTATCATCATCACGCTAGCTGGCTATTTTGCAGACTTCTTTATGTGGTTGCTCCATGGTGTCACTGTTCTGTGTACTTTAGCATGTTTTTGTAGTGGCTGGTAATGGTTTGTCTTTTCCATATTTAATGCTTCCTTCAGGAGCTCTTGGAAGACAGGCATGGTTATGACAAATTCCCTCAGCATTTGCTCGTCTGAAAAGGATTCTATTTCTCCTTCTCTTATGAAGCTTAGTTTGGCCAGATATGAAATTCTGGGTTGGAAATTCTTTTCTTTAAGCAGATTGAATATTGGTCCCCAGCTGCTTCTGGCTTTCAGTGTTTCTGCTGAGAGGTTTGCTGTTAGTCTGATGAACTTCTCTTTGTAGGTGACATGATATTTCTCTCTGGCTATCCTTAAATTTTTTTGTTTCATTTCAGCCTTGGAGAATCTTATGATTATGTGTCTTGTGGTTGATCTTCTTGTGGAGTATCTTACTGGACTTCTCTGGGTTTCCAAATTTGAATGTTGATGTAGATCAAGCCATTTTCAGACAACTACCATGAGTTCTAATTTTATCTCAGGTTTCAGAGATTTTAAAAAATGACCGTGGTTTTCTTAATGCACTTACAAGTAGTCAGCAGAAGGGTAACTTCAAACTCTAATGTCAGGATTTCATTTTCACTGTTTACAAAGTTAACATGATTTGCAATAAATTTTTTTTTTAGAAGTTGAGTTTGACTTTTATGAAAATAATCAATTAACTATAAGTAACACATCAGATCAGCAACTGTTATTTTTCAATTTAAAGTTTAGGGATATGCCAGAAGACATACAGACATATATATTATATATATATATATTTGCCTAATTTTGCTTGGTGGAATGGCATTAAAAAGTGGGCATTGAGTTAATAAATGCTCTTTTTAATGGGATAAATAGGAAAGTGCTACATATGAAAGGCAAGGTATTTTATATTTTTATGTCCCAATTTGTCTATCCTACTGGCACAAAGAGATCTGTACTTGAACAATGCATTTATACAGATATTAAAAACTTAGAATGCTTCATTTGAGTAAATGTAACTAATAATCAAAGTGAGAAAGGTCTGTCTTAACAAGGAGATAATATGCATCCAGAGAAGTTTGGTTCCATTGTGAAAGATGGGAAGGATTGCATCTATTTATCTGAAGAAGCCTGTTCATCTTTGCAAAAGTCAACCATGATAAATGTTAGTAATGAGGCAGAATGGATAGCATATTTATAATTGGATCCTGTTTTCACCTGTAGTATCAACTCTAAATATTTTATTATATAAACCATATCCACTTGTTCTTTGACAATTTCTATTTATCATTTAAAAAACTGATAAGAATTAACAAAATGTGTGGGGATAACTTAACGGGATACTGATGGAAAAATGTAGATAAATTATTATTTTGTATCAGAATCTAAAATAAAATACAGACTCTCCTCCTGAAATTATTAATAGAGTCAAAGATGTTCTATAGGTACTTTGTAGGGCTCCTCTTGGCTGTTGTCAATATATGAACCTTATAATGGGAAGTACTACAGTAGTCCTAATTAATAAGTGAAAATGTATTACTGATACATTTAACTTTCCTAAAGCTTAGGTATGTTTGCAATGACTCAGATTCAATCAACAGTTTAAGGCACTGGCAGTACTTATGCTTACAGTATCAAAGCTCTAGGTAACTGCTACTTATCCTTTAATGCTATAGCTATTACCCATTCAATCATTATTACATCAAATTTTCATGAATATTTCAGTGTGATACAAATTATTTTAGATTTAACTTTAAAATTATTCAATATCAGTACCAAATGATATATTTTTTATTATTGTTATACTTTAAAGTCTGGGATACATGTGCAGAACATGCAGGTTTGTTACATAGTTATATATGTGCCGTGGTGGTTTACTGCACCCATCAAACTGTCATCTACATTAAGTTCTGCTCCTAATGCTATCCCTCTTCTAAGCCCTCACCCACAACAGGCCCCAGTGTATGATGTTCCCCTCCCTGTGTCCATATGTTCTCATTGTTCAACTCCCACTTATGAGTGAGAACATTCAGTGTTTGGTTTTCTGTTCCTGTGTTAGTTTGCTGAAAATGATGGTTTCCAGCTTCATCCATGTCTCTGCCCAAATGATATCTTTTTATTTATCTCACTGGATTTGTAAATTTTAAAATTTTGCCAAAAAAGTGCACGTTAAATTATGAGCACTTGTTTTATCAGTTGGTATCTTCGTGGCACATATATGATCTCTTTCACACATAAGGCAGAATTTAGGAAAGGGTGCCCAAAAGTATAACATAATTTGCTTGAAATGAAGGAATCTTGGATATTACCTAGCCATTTGTCCTTAATAATCCGTCTGAGAGATAAAGTGTCTTGCAGAGACACATATGGTTATCAGAACTGGGAACTCTAACTCTACTTTCTGTTGAAGTTTAGAATATCAGTTGATTTCTATGTGAATGAAGATTTTGTTAACTAAATGGCCCATAGATCAGTCGTCTAAATTTCAGTTTGCTTCATAACAATTTGTGGGGAAATATTCCTTTTCCAGAGGGTTAACAGGCTGTTGTTAAAACATATTGATTCCATGTTGGGAGAATGGGAATGTCCATGACTTGTGCTAAGCCACTCTCCATAAGTTGGATAGTTATATCTTTGAGGAACTCAGAGAAGACTGGGACAACTCATTCTTAAGTTTGCCAAATTTTTAAGGTAGACAGACGTAGGAATGACCCTAATTTATCCACGGATCATCTCCCGAGTGTATAACTTACAAAATACATTTAGGACATAACAAAAGAGCCTAGCAAATTATTTTTCCCACATGATCTGCCCATAGCTTTGGGAATATCTTAAGTCCCAGGAAAAGTAGATAACACTATGTATTTGTACTGATGCAGACAGATAGTGGGAAGGAGTGAAGTTGGATAATAAACGTGGATGGCATGCTCTTTTTAAAATTTGTTGATCCCTAGTTATCTTGTGAATTTTATCCCTGTTAACCATGCTTTTTATTGTGAAGTTATGGGGTAGGAAAATGCGAAAGAGAAATTTTAAATTAGATCACATTTTTTTCTTCTCACACAAGTGTCTTTTTTTCCCTCCCCATCTTTCACCCTGAAGTCAATTCAATGTATGCTGATGATAGTATGAGAAAAAAAGGACACAATCCTATATCCACACATAATCCAGAAAAATATTCAACTATTTTTTTCAATTTGAATATGAATAATGTAGTCCAACCTGAACAATGTCTATAGGGTAGTTAAAAAGAGGATGACACTATCCGTGAGTACACAGCTTCATTTCTGAAATTTTATAATGTCTGCTGTTACCATTTCCTCAGCCTCAGAAACTATGCCTTGTGGTCCTTTTATTTATTTTTATTTTTTTATTTTTTTTTCTTTTTTGAGACACTGCTGCAACCTCCATCTCCCAGGTTCAAGCAATTTTCCTGCCTCAGCTTCCTGAGTAGCTCGGTTTACAGGCACGTGCCACCATATCCGGCTAATTTTTTGTATTTTTAGTGGAGACGAGGTTTCTCCATGTTGGTCAAAGTCCTAGTATTAAATTATACTTACTTTATGCTACCCGAATTGTTGCTGGTTAAAGAGAAGAGAAATTTCAGATGCTCTCGTTTGGTAGTAAGAAAAAATTTTATCATAATCAGCTACAATTTAGGTAGAATATATAACTCTGGCATTTAAAAAATTTCGATAGCTTTAGGGTTACAAGTGGTTTTTGGTTACATGGATAAATTATATAGTGGCGAAGTTTGAGATTTTAGTGCACCCATCAAAAGAGCAGTGAACATTGTAACCAATATGTAGTTTTTATTCCTCATCCTCCTTCCACTCTCCCCTTTCTGAGTCTGCAATGTCCATTATACTAGTCTGTACGCCTCTGTATGCCTCTGCATACCCATAGTTTAGCTCCCACATGTAAATGAGAATATACAGTATTTGGTTTTTCTATTCCTAAGTTACTTTGCTTAGAATAATGGCCACCAGCTCCATCCAAGTAGCTGCAAAAGACATTAATTTGTTCATTTTTATGCCTGAAAACATTGGCTTTTTTTCTATAAAAACTAAAGCTCTGGCAGCATACTATATGTCCCATACTATGCTAGAAAAAATATCCATATTTTTCTTTGTTCCCCAGATGTCCCTTAATACCTCAGTATTTGAGTTATCAGACTCCAGAAATGGGAGAAATTTCTTCCAACCACAAATTTGCAAACTCATTATTTTAAAAAGGAGTGTTTGGCTGTGTGTGGTCGCTCATGCCTGTAATCCCAGCACTTTGGGAGGCCAAGACAGGAGGATCACTTGAGGCCAGGAGTTCGAGACCAGCCTGGCTAACATGGTGAAACAAATCTCTACTAAAAATACAAAAATTAACTGGGCGTGGTGACGTACACCTGTAGTCCCAGCTACTTGGGAGGCTGAGGCAGGAGAATTGCTTGAATTCGGAAGGTGAAGTGAAGGTTGCAGTGAGCCTAGATCACACCACTGCACTTCAGCCTGGGAGACAGAACAAGACTCTGTCTCAGGGAAAAAATAAAAAGAAAAAAGTAAGAAAGAAAAGAGAAAAGAAAAGAAAAAAGAAAGAAAAAGTGTTTGTAGTAGTAAGATGTTCTTAGCTTTCTTAGGACAAGGCAACCACATAGCCCCTCACTCATTAATTCTTGGAAGGTTTATGAATGGGTGACTAGGCAAATTTTGCTGTTGACCATTGGATTGAAGACCTCCAGTGTCAGATTTTGGTTATGAAAATAAAGAGGCCAGCGAGATTATTCACTTCGTTTTGAGTCTATTCCACTTAGTTCTGACTACTCTAAACAAATGGCATCTTTGCTGTTATTTTTAGGTTAGTGTGGTTTTCTGTGGCAAGGAAATCTGTATTAGTGTTTGGGACCAAAAGAGAATTAGTAATAAGCATTTTTTATTTATTGACATTTCAATGATGTACATTTAATGTTCAATGATTTAGCAGGGCATTTGTGTCTATAATAGTTAACAGAATAAGATTTGAATACACTATTCCTGGCTAATATTTCTTGTAAAATTAATATACACCTTTGCTACACTACATGCTGGAACTTCAAAACATTTTGAATTTTTGACTTTCAATTATCAGTTTTTAAAAAGGTCTGGTGCAGTGGGGAAGAGAAGAGACATGGATGAATATGAAACAAAGAAATAGGACGTTAATTAGGGAAGGTTAGGCTATGTATAGAACATCGCATGTTCTCACTCATAGGTGGGTGTTGAGCAATGAGAACACAAGGACAGAGGGAGGGGAGCATCATACACTGGGGTCTGTTGGGGGAGGAATAGGGGAGAGACAGTGGGGGGGTGGGGAGGTTGGGGAGGGATAACATGGGGATAAATGCCAGATGTAGGTAAAGGGGAATGGAGGCAGCAGGCCACATTGTCATGTGTTTACCTATGCAAAAATCCCGCATGATCTGCACATGTACCCCAGAACCTAAAGTACAATAAAAAAATTAAAAATTAAATTAAATTTAAAAAATAAAATTATGTGTCCGTTAAGGATGAGTTTCTGTCATTTTTTTCTAACTTCCATGGTCACCTAAAAAAAAAAATTGCCTGTTAGTTTCAAGAGCAATTGTCATTTAGCCATTAAACAGTAGCTAGAATCTGTTTGCTATAATGCAATGAGCATAGTTAGTGGCTACTTAAAAGTAATAAACTGCATCACTAACATGCCCACCACTGGGCAATAAAGAATCATAATCTTAATCCATATATTTCATAAAGCTGTATTTTCTTCTTTAAGATTATCATGTTTTCAGAGTAGCCACACACATCTATTTAATTGCTGAAGTAAGGACAAAAACACCTGTAAAAGAAACACTCAGGGTCATTTCATATTAAATCCATTAAAATAGATGTTAAATCTTACAAAACCCAGAGCTGTTGCTACTAAATGCTGAAATGTTATTTTTGTAGAAAAAGGATACTTATTGATTGAACTGAAGTCCTGTCTTTTATCATAAAAATATTTAAAATTATTGATACTTTATTTCTGACTTGTACAATAGTGACTATATTTGAGTAGAATACAAACTGTCTTAAAATAATTATAATAGACAAAATTAATAAAGTTGAAATACTTTTGGAGAGAAAAAAAGCTTGTCATGACAAGAGAAGTACAAATTGATGAACTATCTTCAGATTTTAAGATTAGGGACAAATAATAGCATATTCAGTTGAGAATGATGGAGTAAGGATTTAAAACTTTATGCTGTAAAAATTAGTTGAAAAAATTAGGAATACTGGGACTGGAAAATATAAACCAAATAATAATAGTAATATAATAATCACGAGTATAATTATAATAAAAAGCTTAATAGGGAGAAAGGACCGGGTTTCTTCAAGGGGTGGAACCAGGACCAGTGGGTAGAAGATAAAAGGATGAATATTTGTGGCTGCATATTGTGGAGAAAAAAGGCACAGCTGACATAAGATTGAGTTGTCTCAGGAGGGAGTGAATTTATTTATACTTTGGCCAATTAATTAGTGAAAATGCTATAGCAAGTTTTTAAGTGTCATATTGGTAGGGCAAGTTAAAATAGATAATACTCAGTGTTCATTTCAAATTGTCATGAGTTTGACTGTTTGATTATAATAATACAGGAAAAATACATTTGTTACAGCTAATTTTTCATGCTTTCATTTGGAGTGCATTCACTTTTAGATGTTCTCCTTAGTTGGACAAGTCACTGACATTCCATTATATGCTTTGAAAATCCACCAAGACCTATTTCTTTTACTCTAACTACTTTTTCATGCAACATTTTATGTTCATATTCAAGCTAGATACTATTTGGATTAATATTCAGATAAGTTAATATTAATCCTGGGAAAATATTACATACCTAGACAAATCCATTTACTTGCTAATCTTTCTTTGTCTCCACAAAATAAAAACTTCCATGGCAAGTATGTTTTGACCAACATGTAAATAAAAGCATCACTGGGAAGTAAGTACTTCAATATATGGAAATGGTAGAAAATCTATCAAGTTGAATAAAAAAGCCACTGAATTAGCAGCATTGCTCAGTGGAGTGGTTCCATCATGCAATAACTCAGATAAAAATGACAATGTTTTATTATGTTAGAGATACTGCGCATCACATTAAATGCACACCTCTCACAGCAAAGATCACCATTTAGTGAAGAAATGAAGAAATATCTAATCAGCCTTATCAATAATGAATTTTCTTTTCAGACCAGTTCACAGCTTTCCTATTCCAGGGCTTCATTGAGAGAGATATACTGTGAGCTCCCCTTGATACACAGTTTTAACAACTAAAATGAGTGTCTATTGGTACATTAGACATCCTCATTTCAAGGGCCATTTCTCAAAGAGCTAAGATGTTAGCAAGGAATTGAAGATGGGCCATGAGCAGGCTGACTAAACTATGTCTTTGCATAATGCTTTGCCTGATGATTCTAGTATATACTCTGTTTTTAAAAAGATACCAGTTTTTGGCAAAATTGTGATACAAAACAAATTGCCTTTAGTATTTGTTTTATGTCTCATTTCAGTTACTCATTTTCTCAGATACTTTATTCTCTCATTTTGGCTATTGAATCTGAAGCAATGCTCAATTATAAGGCCATCTCATTTTCTTCTATTTCCCTTTCCTTCTTCATTTCTCACAAAATGTGCCCATTATGTGTCCCCTTTCCAAAGATCTTTGATCTCTGCTAGGGGGCAGGAACAATTTTGAGGTTGGTTGCCTGCTTATTAATATATTATGTACTATTTCTTCTTGGCATTTTATTATTTCTCCTCTTTGTTGAATGCAATAACGATAACTTTTAAGTAAAATAAGTGGTAATTAATGGTAGAACCATTAAGCAGCTGGGAGGTCCATTGTGGTGATGGCAGTGATGAATAGGATTTGCGGGAGGTACTTCTGGAATGAGGGCCAGCTTGATACACATACTCAAATATTCTGATTTAGTAAGACTTGGACGAGTCACTATGAAGCAACTATATAAAAAAATCTACAAAATAACTAGCTAGCATCAGAATGACAGGAGCAAATTCACACATAACAGTACTAACTTTAAATGTAAATGAGCTAAATGCCCCAATTATAAAACACAAAATGGCAAGCTGGAAATATAGTTAAGATCCATTAGTATTCTGTCTTCAGAAGACACATCTCACATGCAAAGACACACTTAGGCTAAAATCAAGAGATGGGGAAAATTGACCAAGCAAATGGAAACAGAAAAAAAACAGGGTTGCAGCCCTAGTTTTTGACAAAACAGACTTTAACCAACAAAGATCAAAAGAGACAAAAAGACATTACATATGGCAAAAGGTTCAATTCAACAAGAAGAGCTAACTGTCCTAAATATATATGCCCCCAATACAGTAACACTCAGATTCATATAGCAAGTTCTTAGAGATCTACAGAGTCTTAGGCTCCCACATAATAATAGTAGGAGACTTTTAACACCCCACTGACAATATTAGACAGATCATTGGAACAGAAAATTAACAAAGATATTCAAGACCTGAACTCAGCTCTTGATCAAGTGGATCTGATAGATATCTGCAGAAATCTCCAACCAAAAAAACAACAGGATATACATTCTTCTCATCACCACATGACACTTACTCTAAAATAGATTGCATAATCAGAAGTGAAACACTCATCAGCAAATGCAAAATAATTGAAATCATAATAGTCTATCAGACAACAGCACAAACAAATTAGAATTCAAGATTAAGAAACTCACTCAAAACCACACAACTACATGAAAATTGAGCAACCTGCTTCTGAATGACTCCTTAGTGTATAATGTGATTAAGGCAGAAATAAAGAAGTTCTTTGAAATTAACGAGAAAAAAGAGATAATATTCCAGAATCTCTGGGATGCAGCTAAAGCAATGTTAAGAGAAAAATATATAGCACTGAATGCCCACGTCAAAAAGCTAGAAAAATTTCAAATCAGGAACCTAACATCACAGCTAAAATAACTAGAGAACCAAGAACAAACAAGCCCCAAACCTAGCAAAAGAGTGGAAATAACAAAATTGGAGCTGAATTGAAGGAGAAAGAAATGTAAGAAAAACCTTCAAGAAATCAACACAGAGCTGGTTTCTTTTCAGAAATTAATAAAATAAATAGACGAATAGCTAGACAAATAAAGAAGGAAAGAGAAGAATCAAGTTGTCACAATCAAAAATGATAAGGAAGATATCATCACTGACTCCACAGAAATACAAACACGCATTGGAGAATACTATAAACACCTCAATGCACATATACTAGGAAACCTAGAATAAACTGATAAATTCCTGGACATATACACCTTCCCAAGGCTGAACCAGGAAGAAACTGAATCTCTGAACAGAGCAGTAATTAGTTCTGAAATTGAGTCAGTAATAAAGTGCCTATCAAACAAAAAAGCCCATGACCAGATGGATTTACAGCTGAATTCTGCCTGAGGTACAAAAAGAGTTGTTATCATTTCTACTGAAACAATTCCAAACAATTAAAAAGGGCGGACTCCTTCCTAATTCATTTTATGAGGCCAGCATCATCCTATTATCAAAACCTGGAAGAGATACAACAAAAAGAGAAAACTTCAGGCCAACACACCTGATAAACATCGATGCAAAAATCCTCAATAAAATACAGGCTAACCAAATCTAGAAGCACATCCAAAAGCTTATCCACTATGGTCAACTTGGTTTCATTCCTGGGATGCAAGGTGGGTTCAACATATGCAAATGAATAAATTTAATTCATCACATAAACAGAACTAAAGACAAAAAAGCAAAAAACAGAAAACATGATTATCACAATAGATGCAGAAAAGCCCTTCAATAAAATACAACATCACTTCATGTTAAAAATTCTCAGTAAACTAGATATTGAAAGAATATCCCTCAAGATAATTAGAAGCATATATGAAAAACCCACAGCAAGTATTAAACTTAATGGGCAAAAGATGAACACATTCCCCTTGAAAACTGGCAGAAGACAAGGATGCCCTCTCTCATCACTCCAATTCAACATAGTATTGGAAGTTCTGGCCAGGGCAATTGGACAAGAGAAGAAAATAAAGGGTATTCAAATAGGAAGAGTAGAAGTCAAATTATCCTTATTTCCAGGTGACATTCCTTATTGTCTCAGTTTATTGTCTAAAGCTTCCTAAGCTAATAAGCAAATTCAACTAAGTCTCAGGACAAAAAAATCAATGTGCAAAAATTGTTATTATTTCCATACACCAATAACAGGCAAGCAGAGAGCCAAATTATGAATGAAATCTCACTCACAATTGCTACAAAGAGAATAAAATACCTAGCAATACAATTACAAAGCTAAGTGAAGGATCTCTTAATGGAGAATTACAAACCACTGAAAATGGTCATACGTCCCAAAGCAATTTATAGATTCAATGCTATTTCAATTAACTTACCATTTGCATTCTTCACAGAATTTTTAAAATCTATTTTAAAATTCATATGGAACTAAAAGAAGAGCTCGTGTAGCCAAGAAAATCCTAAGCAAAAAGAACAAATGTGGAGGCATCTTGCTACCTGACTTCAAAGTATACTACAAGACTACAGTAACCAAAACAGCATGGTACTGGTACAGAAACAGACGCATAGGCCAATGAAACAAATACAGAACTCAGAAATAAGACCACACACCAACAACCATCTGATCTTTGACAAACCTGACAAAAACAAGCAATGGGGAACAAATTCTTTATTAAACAAATGGTGCTGGGAGAACTGCCTAGCCACATGCAGAAAATTGAAACTGGATCCCTTCCTTATACTGTATACAAAAAATTAACTCAAGATGCATTAAAGATTTAAATGTAAAACTCAAAACTATTAAAAAAAACTCTTAAAAATTAAGCAATAACATTCAGAACATAGGCACAGGCAAAGATTTCATAACAAAAACACCAAAAGCAATAGAAACAGAAGCAAAAATTGACAAATGGGATCTAATTAAACTATGGAGCTATTGCATAGCCAAAGAAACTATCATCAGAGTTAATAGACAACCTACAGAATAGAAGAAAATTTTTGCAATCTCTCTATCTCACAAAGGTCTAATATCCAGAATCTCTAAAACCTTAAACAAATTTAAAAGAAAAACAAATTAAAAAGCATGCATACGACATGAACAGTCACTTCTCAAAAGAGGGCTTTCATGTGGCCAAAAAACATATGAAAAAAAGCTCAACATCAGTGACCATTACAGAAATGCAAATCAGAAACACAATGAGATACCATCTCATGCAAGTCAGAATGGCGATTAATATAAAGTCAAGGAACAATAGATGGTGGCAAAGTTGTGTAGAAAAAGAAACACTTTTACACTCTTAGTGGAGGTGTAAATTTAAATTAGTTCAACCATATGGAAGACAGTGTGGTGATTTCTCAAAAGTCTAGAAGCAGAAATACCATTTGATCCAGCAATCTCATTACTGTGTATATACCCAAAGAAATACAATTCATTTTATTATAAAGATACATGCACGCATATGTTCATTATAGCACTATTCTCAATAGCAATAACATGGAATAAACAAAAATACCCATCAATGATAGACTTGATAAAGAAAATGTGGTACATATACAGCATAGAATACTATGCAGCCATAAAAAGAAACGAGATTATGTCCTTTATAGGGACATGGATGGATCTGGAAGCCATTATCGTCAGCAAACTAACTCAGGAGCAGAAAATCAATCACCAAATGTTCTGACTTATAAGTGGGAGATGAACAATGAGAATGCATGGACACATGGAGGGGAACAATGCACACTGGGTGGCCTATTGCGGGAGGTGAGCAGAGGAAGAGCATAAGGAAGAAGAGTTAATGAATGCTGGACTTTATACCTAGGTGATGGGTTATTCTGCACAGTAAACCCTGATGGCACACATTTACCTATATAACAAATGTGCACATCCTGCACATGTACCAGGGAACTTAAAAATAAACGTTCAAGAAAAAAACAAATGTATGGGGCTGTAACTTTTATTCATTCAGAGACCTAAAATACTTATTCACAGAATATATTGTGGTTCTTGATCGTAGCCTTGAAATGTCTTAAACAAAATATTTTTAAAATAGTGAAGATGAGAATTTCTTCTGCTTAACCAGAGTAAAACTGAGTCCATCAGTTTTGTTTCTTTCTTTTTATGTGAAGATGGGCAATAGACTTTGCTTTTTAAATAACTTTCTTGAAGAAAAATAGATATGTATACAATTAGGTAAGTTTGGATGTATTCTTATACCCATAACCACAATAAAAGTAATAAACATATTTTGTCACCAAATATTTCTTTCTGCCCTTTTATTTGCTTGTTTTGTATTAAAAGCAGTTAATATATTAATAATATCTACCCTTTCCACATGATTCTTAACTGCACAATACAGTATTGTTAACAGTAGGTACAATGTAGTACAGCAGATTTCTGGAACTACTCTTCTTACATACAGCTAGTGCTCAACTTACGACCACGATTGGTTCCAACAGACCGGCCATAACATGATTTGGTCGTAAGTTGAGTAGGCTATATGTACATTACTATGAAATGATGTTATAAAAATCTTTAAGTCATATTTTATCATAATTTTCTTTCATTATTGTTATATATCGTAAGTTTCTTTGTTCATTTTATGCCATTTGTATCATCTCTACACCATTTTGTTTCTTATTTTTACATTCGTCAGGTTTAAGTAAAACACTGCATTACCAGTACAACTGGTTTAATATTTGCAAAACATACAAAATTACAAAATACAGGTGCACACAAAAATACAAAATACAGGTGTAAAAAAAACCATAGGAAACATTTTCCCAATTGCAAAACATCAAAATATATAAACATGTACAAAACATTTTATTGGCCGCTGGTGCTTGGCTGTGGATCGTTGATGTCGTCATCTGAGACAGCAGTTGTGGTTACCGGAGTTGGTTTTTTCATAAACATGGTGAGCTTTGTCTGAATTGTATGTTTCTTTTTTTCTTCATAAATTTCATGATATGGACGAAACACATCGTGTGCCATTCGTTCAATCCTTGCAAATCTTTGGATGTTTGGGTCCATTGCTTCGAAATGTATAAGACGTTTATTGGGAGGGGTTTGATGAAAAATACATATCCAAGACACAAAACACAAATTGCTGTACCGAGTCTGGGATAACAGTTGAAATGGTGCATGCGGAGATGGTAGTGCTGCGGGAAGCTGGTCCACACTGTCATACGCCCAGCTGGGCAACGTTTGCACTGCCAGACGCGGAGCAGTCATGGCTAGCGATTGTGGTCATAAAGTCGAATGGTCGTAAGTTGCATAGGTCATAAGTCGATCAATACCAGTAATAGAAATGTTATACACATTAAACAGCCACCCCCTCTGTCTACTGCAAATTTGCCTGCTGCTGGGCTTCTCAGTGCTCCTCTAACTCCAGGGTGATCAACCATCCTAGTTTGCTCTGGATTAAGACATTTCACAGGAAATAGTACTTTCAGTACTGAAACTGAGACAATCCCAGGCAAACTGGGATGATTGGGATGGTTGCTCATCCTAAATCCTACCCCTATTCCCATTATTTTCACCACAGCATTTAAATTGAGTAAATGCTTTTACCAGAGTTTGAAGGTTTGGGGTAAATTTCCTCTGTCACTGTCTGTAATCTCTTTAATGAAGCTTCCTTTCCATGAGATTTAATCAGGGAACTATAGTCTCCGAACCTATTGGAAAGAAGAGACATAGCATTTAAGGAAAAAATAAGGTGCAGAATGTATTCATCCAAGCATCTGTTAAGTACCAACTCTGAGTAAGACACAGAACTACTAGTGCTCGACTTACAACCATGATTGGGCCTGCGGACCGGTCGTAATACGATTTGGTTGTAAGTTGAGTAGGCTATATGTACAGTTGAAATTGTGCACGCGGAGATGGTAGTGCTGCTGGAAGCTGGTCCGCACTGTCATACGCCCAGCTGGGCAACGTTTGCGCTGCCAGATGCAGAGCAGTAGTGGCTAGTGATTGTGGTCGTAAAGTCGAATGGTCGTAATTTGCATAGGTGGTAAGTCGACCAATACTTTGTAAACTTTGCCAAATTCATGAGCATGTTAAGTATTTTTATCTATTCATAACAAAATATTATAAACTGGGTACCTTATAATAACACAAATGTATTTTCCACAGTTCCGGAGGCTGGAAGATCCAACATCAAGTTGTTTGAAAATTTAGTGTCTGATGGGGGCCCACTTTCTGATTCGTAGCTGATGAAGGGGTGACAAGATTCTCTTTTAGGCCTCTTATATAAAGACACTAATCCTATTCATGAAGGCTCTGCTCTTATGACCTAATGACCTCCCAAAGGCTACACCTCCTAAAAAAAAAACCACATTAGGGGTTAGGAATTCAACATATAAATTTTGGAGAGAACACAAAAATTTATATCATAGAAGCTAATGGTCACACATGAAAATTATATTTATGACCTAATTCAGACTATGTATCAATAGATTCAGAGGCCTGGGTTGAGTGACATTAACAGATTTTAAAATGTAAATTTATAATCTGTGATGGGTACATTGCATTATTTGAAAATCTGTATTTTATATTAGTAAAAAGGGTTATACCGTTATTTTACATGCATAAGTTTATGTTAAGTTTTCTGGGAGGTTAGTCTGAGTATTAACAGACTTAAAGACACTCTGAATAGTAGCAAAGTGAAATTTTTTCTAAATATCTGATTTCAACTTTCACCTGCCATCTTCTAAAAAGCAATTTCTTCTAAAAATCAATTAATCTGCACAATTAATGTTCATTTAGAGCTCTAGTTAAGCAAGCTTTACAGGGTTTAATTACCAGCCATGCTAATCTAGATTATTACTGAGATTCTAAGGTATTGACAATAAATGCTTATTTTGATCAATTTCATTTTGTATTTAAAACATGCAGGTGAAAGTTCTTGAATTAATAATCCCATAGAAATGTTAAGTGTCATTTTCCTAGAAAATGCTTAAAAGAATATGGATGGCACCATTGGCATTGTTTGCACAGTAGTTGATAAACTGGAGACTAGTCTTTCTTCTATAACAACATCCTTTCCTTCAGTCACTTCAAATATTTACTATTCTTCAAATTTATGCGCTCTTGAAATTTTGTATCTTAGGCCTTAGCAAAGATGATACTTTTCAACTTGATTTGGTAATATTGACATTCACTGCAAAATAAAAAGAAACACTGCCAGCTTAGATTCATTCTGTCTGTTGGTTAAGGTAAGTTTCAAAACAATTTTTCTTGTGGGGAGAATGTTAAAATTTATTTCAGAAAATTTGATACATAAAATATAAGATTAACTGTGGCCATGGAAAATGATAAATTGGTGAGGTGACATACATGTTAATTATATTGATTGAATCTTTCTATATGTATACGCAAGTCAAAACATCATGTCATATAGCATGAATATATAAAATTATTGTCAATTTAAAATAAATAAGGAGGTAGACAAATAAATATTATCTCTGATATGCTTTCTCTATGTTACAGTAATTATTTCAAAGAGAGACCAGACAAAGTTTGCTTTAATAGATTGCCTTTTAAACTTTCAGAGTATAAGTTTTGTTTTAAGTAAGACTTTGATTATATCCAAAAGCTGCAAAAAAGAGACAACATGACAAAATAGAAGTCAATGTCTATAAAAGTTATAGAATAGAGTATGATTCGTCTTTTTATATCTAAAAAAAAAGTGGCTTTGGTTTAAATACATACTTCTTAAACTCTTTGGGTTCCAAGAAGGCCTGAGTATTAACAGACTTAAAGACACCCTGAATAGTAGCAAAGTGAAGTTTTTTTCTGATTCGTAGCTGATGAAGGGGTGACAAGATTCTCTTTAGAAACTTGTCACAAATATACAAAAAGGAAATTTGTTATCAGAATCCATATGAATTGTGTTAGAAGCAGGCAACCTTTAGGGTCCAAAGCAGCATGTATATGATGTCTATAGATAACTGTTTGCTCGCTCTGTCTCTGTCTCTCTCTCTCTCTCTCTCTCTCTCCCTCTCTCTCCATCTCATCCTCCTGGCCTCAAAATCTCACTCCTACTCCTCCCATTCCAACTTTTTCCCCTCCCTCCCATTTCCTCTCCCTTCTGATATTTCTCTTTCATGACACCTCTACTTTCACCAGGAAGTTCTTGCTTTTCTCTATATGTCTGCTCTCTTAGTATTTTCTACTCAATAATCCTTTTTATATTTTCCAGCTGAAATTCTGCAATCTGGAACATTTAATATAGTTGTCTTTATTAATTACTATTACTTTAATTTGGCAAATCTCCTTTTGTCAGACTACATCATGAGTTACTGTACAATTTATGCTTCTTTGGGTAATTTGAACACTCCTGTTTCTGCCTGTGGTCATTATGGTATAAACAAACATCACACAAAAACACTGGCCTGAAATTGCACCCTTTACAATAAATTTGATTAGAAAAATTCCATGTAGATGGAAATTTTAGGTAAGTCAAATATTATAACTGACATGCCCGGCATATCGTGCCTCTTCTGTCTCTGATGAGCTGTGCTGCTTTGTCTCTATTGACTTCAATTAACTCACTTGTAAAACTCTAAAGGAACCAAAATTGATGATAATGGTCTCCTTATATTCAAACATGCTTGGAAGTTCAAACGTACAATTTTAGGCAATATTATTGACGTGGGGGGATTTTGGGAGAGAGGAAGACCATGAAATACTATCTCATTATGCAAATACTTTTAAATGTAGTTAATGTTAATGTTAAACCTTATCTTGAGAGGCTTAATACTTTAGTTGCTCTCTTTAGAAACACTTGCTGTATCCCCAGAGCTAGTGATATTTGAGGAAAGAATGAATAAAAAAAAATTATTTTCATGTAAATACCCTCTCTTTGGAAAAGCACCTTAAAAAAACAGAAACATAATTTTTAAACCAAAGATAGTCTGTTGTATAGTATTGATTGCCTCCCAAGAGGGCCAGAACAAATAAGTTCACTTTGGTGAACACTCTATTTGTAGAAAATATAAATTCAAAGAAATGCTTAATAATCTCTTGATGATCAGATTTTATTTTCATCAATATTTAGACCCTACGTACAAGACCAGGGAAGACTATGACAACCTACAGAAACAGGATTCAAGGGGAGAGGCTTCAAGTGTCTTATGAAGTCTAGAATTTTATCTGGACGGCCACTCATAGAATCATGAGCTAAAGAGTGATACAGATCCCTAAGGCACAGTTAAAGCTGGAGAAGTGAGACAGCAACAGGGGGCTCCTGGAGAGAGGTATGTAATAAGGAATGCTATCATTTAGTTTTTTTCTTCAACACAAACTCATTATAGAAATAATGTCATCTTGTGATTAAGATAATAGACTTTAGAGATAAAATAGACCTGAATTTTAATTTAGTATCTACAGAGTTTGTTCTTGGACATGTTAATGAGCTTTTCTGAGAATTTTTTCTCATTTGTAAACTTCAGAGAATAATAAGCATCTCATATGGTTGTTGTAAAGATATATGAGTTAATTTGTTTCTTTTAGTAAACATTCCATAAATAACAGTTGTAAATAATATTATCAGTATTTTAAGTTTTCTGTTATTGTTATTGCTTATTAGATTTCTTTTATACATCAGGAAAATTACCAAGTTTTTGAAATTGTTAAGGAACCAGAGAGTATGATTAACACAAGGGCTCTGGACAAGCCAGATTTGGCAGGATATTCATTTTTATGGGTCATGGGAAACTGTTATAGGCAAGAAGAGGATCTATAAGGAAGAGGCATGCTCTAAAAGTGTCCCAGAAACTTTCATGAGTTGCCAATAGGATACATAGTTTGATTGTATATAGAGTCTTGAGAAAATCCACATTCATAGTTTGAACAAATTCATATGTATATATTAACTGGAAAGTATCTAATAACTATAGCATACTAGAAAAATAAAGGAAATTTGTATTGTTTAATATACGGGCTGGTGAACAAAATATTGTTTTGTTGGAAACAATTTCTATATAAGAAACAATCACCAGTCTTTTAAGCAATCTTTTTGCCATGTTTTCTTAGTGCTGTTGGAAGCTAATGTGCAGAGTCCATGATAAGGGGCTTCTGTGTAACAGACCTTCACTGCTACCTAAATGCAAACTGAACTAGCATAAATAATTGTGCTGTAGAAAGCCTTTCTGTTGCACCTTGCTGATCACTGACAATTTACATATCTTAGGAAAACCTTTGTTGGCTTCTGTCATTTCTGTGCTATTATGTGCCTTTCTGGATAATTACCAGTTAATTTGAAAAAGCAGATGGAAAAAAACCTTGAAATTTCTGATAGAGAATTCTTAAACCTCTCCTCTTATCTGTGCATAGCAGCTTCCTGATTTCAAAAGAAGTTTCAAAACCTTTGTTAAATGTGTCCCTGATTTCCAGTTTGAATGAACCTAATGACATTAAGCTAAAATTATTCTGCTTTATTCACAATTAAATTCCATTATCGTGAACTGTCAAAGTAAAATGGAAGGCCTCTCCCAACTAATGCGTCAGTTGTTTGCTTGGTATGGTTTGTGGCATGGACTGTGTAGAACTGGGAGAAAGGTTTGTAAGGTGTGGGGAAACAACAATTGCAATTTTGCAACAATGAGTAGGATATATCACAGTCTCCCTTTTCCTATCCTCCTCCCCTTTCCAAAAAGGATCTCTGTAGAGAGACACTGACTGACCATTTCAGAAAAAGTAAGGGGTGGTGGGCAGCTTTAATCTGTAAGCCCTCTAAGTGACGTCTCCACTCTTTGTATAGTATTTGTGTTAGACATTAAGCAAACTCAAATTCCACTTCTGTTAATGAAGATAGATTGCAGCATAATTCATGGAAGGTATTACAAGATTGTATTCAAATCTATATCAGCAAGAACAGAATGTCTGAATGTTAATACCTGAGTAAAAAGCAAATAAGTTACCATACCCTAATAATAATGAAATTCATCTCTCAGCATCAACTTCTGTGAGTTTATCTTTTATTCAAATAGATTCATTTCTCCTATTTCTATATCTTAGGGGATGTGAGATATTTAGTACTTTGAAATATTTAAAGTCCTCTTTTCTTACCTTTTTATAAAATTTGCTGTTAATGCTGAAGTGAGCTCATGAAATCTCTGTCAGTGAATTATTGACTTTATGGAACATCCATGGACATATTTAGGGTCTCATATCAGCTCTCCTCATGGCTGCCTTTGTACTTTTTTCAGCCTTCTGGGTACTCAGAGGATGTAAACACAAAACCTTTCATACAAATGTTTCATTCAGCTACTGTATATGCTAGACTTGTGTCATTATATATGAATGGCTTCC